CTACAATAGGAATTGATCTATCCTCAAGACTACAAACTTAAATGAAATCCTTAAAATGCTTATGATAAGATTGTGTGACCCGAGATAAATTCAAAATATTTCACCCTTATAGGCCTCGTGCTTTGCGGGCTTATGTATATCCCAAAATTTTTAGGAGGCCAGAGAATTATTATGAAGTTGGGCAGCAAGTTCATTTCATCCCGAACGCAATTTATCGGGCTCTGAAAGGACCGTCCAAGTCGGAGCCGTTATGGAATTCCAATGGATGAATCCGTTAAAGAATGGTTATTAATGAGCAATTACAAATGGCTAATGGTCACTAAAACCCATTAACCACACCTTTTCAGATCCAGTGAGAAAGGAAGGTTTATGATATAAATAGGTCTTAAGACCAAACAGAAAAAAGGGGGCGAATCGATGAATAACACAAAAAGGAGAAACACATGAAAACTTTGGACCACCAACAATGGTGGCCACGAATCCTTCTTAACATACCTCTTTCCAGAACGGGCGATTGTGACCTCACCCAACTAACTTCAGGGTGGTTTCTCCAAATAACGTTTAGCGAGAACAAATCTTCTTCTAGGAATTCAAAGAATCTCGTATAATAAAGTTGTTTTATGTTATGAACCTAAGAATAACATTAGAAATATCAGATATGCCATGCTCATTGAACTTCAAATTGCAAAACTCTCAAATTCAATTATTGTAATAAAAGTGGCCATGTTGATTTATTTTTCTTTATTAAGAAAAATCATGAAATTAAACATGATTATCCTTCTTCAAATTTTTATAAGAAATTTCATATTGAAAAATGAGAAACATGTATGCTTCATCATATTTATGTAATTATGATCCTCATAAGTAATGACGTCGAATAACATTCTGAGTTCTTGGAGCTCAATGGTCTGAGACATTAATTTAGCTAGTTGTTGTTTTTTTAATGTTTTTTGTTGAATAATGTGAGGTTGTTAAGCCCGCAATTTGTATTAATTTTTCCAAGGATGTGGTTTGATTTAAATAATAGGGTAACATTCTTTTCCCCTGTAAAGACATGGGTTTTTAATGAGGCACCACACCTACACATTAGACTTTCATTGAATGATCCTTACCGTCTTATTAGGTGATTTATAGGTTGGACCTCCATTGGTGAAACCCTACTGCCTTATTAGGCGATCTACATGTTAAAACTTCTAATAAAAAATCCTCATCTCCTTAATCCAATCAGACTACATAAAGTGTACGTCTCAAAAACAACAACAATAAAAAATCGAAACTCTATAAAGAAAGCATGTTAATAATAAAGTTTCGAAAAATTAACATGATTCCAAAAATCTAATAGATATGATTAAAAAATAACATGATTAAATATTAAAATATTTTATATAGAATTGATGAATCAAATTTGCATTTTTTTAATTTTTGTAAATATTAAGTTTGAGTATATATTAATCAATTGAAGAAAAAAAAATATTACCATTATTTTTTAAAAAAACTTTATTTTAGAATTCATTGTAGGTCTTAGATCAAAATGCAAGGCTAAATAGGTGGAGGGAGGGCCTTTATATGTCTATGTTAGGTAAAGTATTTTAGTAAATGCCACATCTAAATTGTGTGTTGTTTTTAAATAGTAATTAACTAACTAAATTGTAAAATTAGGGGAAAATAATGGTCACAAAGTTTCACCTCAAATAATATGTGGTTTTTCATATGCTACATGGAACACCTTCTGCTACACGTAAAGCTTTCGAGATATCATTGGATTGTTTTTGGATTGAAGGTTGAAAAGAGACATTATTATTATAGATATAAAAAAACTAATTGGAGAGTCGTTCACTATATTTTCTTCAATTAATGATTAAATTTTAGTGTTTATAATAAAAATAATAATGAGAATTTTTTTTCTTGATTGGATTAGAGTCAAATTCAATTTGGATTGTAGAATTAAAAATTGTCAACTTAAAATAAAAATGAGAACGAGAAAGGGTTTGTTAGAAGAATGTGTTCTAAAACCTGAATAGTATTTTTGTTAATTATGATAATTTCTAAAAATAATTAAAATAATTAAAAAAAATTATAAAATATATTAGTCTATCACGAACCACTTTAAACTGTCATATATATCTTTTTATTTCTTTCAATTTATTACCACCTCTGTTTTGAAAGAAAAAAAATTATATATCTTCTTTATTTTAAAAAAATTATTCTCTTTACATTATCAATATAATATTTATTATTTTCATTATACTTATTCAACTATTATATTAATTATAATTAAAAAAGTATTTTATTAATATTAATTTATCAATAATATTTAGTAAATATAATTATTAGTTAAAAAACTACATATATTAAAAAAAGTATTTTGAGACATACACTTCTTGATTTTATTTGAAGGGTTTATGTTTCCAAAACCAAAAAAATAAACTGTAATTATTTTGACTCATTATTATAATTTTTTTTACTTTATTTATGCATGCAAACCTTTTACATTATAATAAAGCTCTATTAATAGTTTCTTGTAAAACTATTTTGTTTTAAAATCTAAATTTATTGTTTCCAAGTTTCAAAGATTTGGAGCAGAAAATTTTTAGGACAATAAACAAAACATGAGACATGATGATGTATACTAGTTTGCTATCATAAAAAAAAATCAAAAAACATAGGATAATGTTTCTCCCTAGAGCACCAATAACACAACACATGTGAATTTAACAAAATTAATTAAACTATTATTGTGATTTTGCTACAATTTTAATGTTTAGTAATACTTGTCCAAAACATGCAAACTCTACGCATTATTTTAGACAATATTTTATCTTAAAGTCTGAATTTATCATGTTGTAAATTTCTAAGATTTGATAGCAGAAGATCATGCAAGTCATTACAATAACCAAAACATGAGGCATGATTCATGATGTATACTAGTCTGCTCTCACAGACACAAAATTTAGGAACATAGGATAAAGTTTCTCCCTACTACTGAGCACCTATAATATAGGATTTGGACAATTTTACATTGAATCAAAAATACTGTTGTGTATTAATACCATGTCCTATAACTTCTTTTTTGACTCATTAATATAAGAACTTCTTCTTAAATAACTACAATCATGTCAACTTATTACTTAAAAACATGCAAGCCCTGCATATGATTGTGTCAGTTTAACTTCTTAAGCATGCAAACTCTACACACTATTTTAGACACTATTTTGTCTTTAAAGCCTGGATTTGGCAGCAGAAGATCCGATGCACAATTATCTCCGGAGTATCCTCTCGAGGGTGTAGCCATCATTTCAAGGGAGGAGACCTTGAAGTTGTCTTGCATACTGCATTTTGCATCTGATTATCTGTTCATTAAATATTTTTATTTGTGGTTGAATGGCTTATGTACTTATGTGTGTTTAATGACATATCTTTTGTTCATGACTGAGATATCAAACCTTATTGTTGTTCTATTTTGCGTGGCTCTATTTATCCTTTTGTTTATGTGTTCATTAACTACATTGTATGTGAATGTCTGTTAATGTATAGCTAGTTTGTTGCGAGTGTCTGAAACTTGCATCTTCTTTTACTTTTATATAATTCATTGACATCTGTTTCTTTCTTTTTGATGTTGTCAAAGGGGGAGAAGAGTATCAAGCATCGCAGTAGAAACAGAAACATCACAGGTGAAGACTTAGTATTCACGCGTATGAAGGCATCGAGCAAGAATATGTAGTTAGTCTACCGATCCGATCTAGAGTAATTATTCAACTTAGTAATTAACTAGTAATATGTAGTTATAAGTCGCGACTTTTAAATTAACGAACTTAAAACACCTAACTTAACTTTGAATTGGCCTAAGAAATTAAAAAATCATTGTGTAGATTAGTGAGTTGTACAACAAAAAATTAGGTACAATGGTCGTGTTAATCCATCATAATACTTTAACATATTATAAATTTGATTAATGCACAGTTCATCAACAAGAATGATTACGGGAGTCGAAGGAAGATCTAATCGCCTTTAGTTATTGAATTTTATTGTAAGTATTTTCTCGTTTTGCAAGCCAAATCAACCTTAAAAAAACCCCACTGTTATTTACTTTATTTATTCATTCGATGAGACTAGTACATTTGTTAGAATTTGTCCATCACTCTTTTTTTGTCGAATCAAAAACTTAGATCTATCGAAATCCTTAATAACTATATATATATATATATATATATATATATATATATATATATATATATATATATATATATATATATATATATATATATATATATATATATATATATATATATATATATATATATATATATATATATATATATATATATATATATATATATATATATATATATATATATATAATTCTCTGAGTTTTGGTTTCTATAAGTTTTCTATTAACAACTTTTAGGCCCTTTTTTTCATTTAAAAGTTAAGTTATACGTTCCAAATATCTTTTTTAGATGACATGTTATTCTTAAATCCTTAAATATCATTAATATAATTATTTATTTTAGTTTAGTAATTTAATCTTTGATTTAAAGTTATAAAAATTTAATAAAGATTAAATCGTTAGATTATAAAACTAAGTTTTATAATCTTATTAGTCATACGTCATAAAAAAAGTTATTTAAAACATGCAACATAAACTTTTGTGTCAAAAGCATAAATTAAAATTAGGTTTTCAAAATTTTGATTCAATAAATAAGTTTTCAAAACTTTGAACAATGTTTTGAGCTCACTTCATCATTGGCAACCCTAGTTAAAACCACCTTAGGAAAACATAAGAGCTAAATCATTTAACAAAAAAATAGAGAGGTCCTAAATTAACACTAAACTTGAAAGAAAAGCATTTCAAGTTATTAATTTGAGTACTACATAGTTAGGATATGAATTCTCTAACTAGCTTTTCCTTTGATGTTCATAATCAAATCAAATCAAACAAAACAACTACTCATAGTTAAACTAATAAGTCTTGTTGTTCTAAAATATAATACAATACATCATCATTTATATTGATGATGGTGATGGTGATGATGTCCATTGACATCAGCATTTCCATGTCCACCTTGAGAACGAGAAGAGGAACCTCCAGGAGCATTTGGTGCATTGTTACTACTACCATCCCTCATCATGTAAGCTTGTGGATTACCATAATACCCTCCATTGGGATGACCAAGATGAAACTGTGGTACAAAACCACCTAAGCCTCCTCCATATTGATCCATTGTTCTCTTTCCCAATGGTTCAACTCTCATTGAAGTACGATCCCCCTCAAGCTCACGGTAACGATGAAGATACATAGTAAGAGGTTCAATGTAATCATCAAAGCCTAGCTTACTCATAGCCCAAAGAACATCTTCAGCAGTTATTGTCTTCCTTTGCTCTCTCTGACATCGTTCATTTGCTTCACCAGTTATGAAACTGATGTACTCAGATACACACTCTTGAATTGTTTCTTTGGCATCGTCAGAGATTTTTGCATGGGGTGGTAGAATCTTACGCATGATCCTTATCACGTTTGCAATTGGCATGAAACGGTCTTGTTCCCTAACAGTGCATTCATTGTCTTGTTCTGTTGAATGGTTGCTGCTGTTCATCTGTTCTCCCCGTACTTGCTGCCTCGTGTTCATATCTGATGATAGCTTCAATGTCCCTGCATATATCAAGGAGGTGTATGTAGCAAATGGGAGGTGTACATGTAAGAGGTGACGACATGTAGGACGGGTCGGTGGTGTTGGGAGGGAGCGTGTGTGTCAGGTTGTTTCTATAGCTTTTCTTGAGAACAGAGAAATAGAAAGAAAAGGACAAAGAGTGTTTCATAAGTCATGCATGCGATTAAAGAGGACAAAAACAAATAAACGAATGAAAACAGTTTCTGTATTTTCATGGTTTTTTTGTTCATGCATTCGTCTCTCTATTGCGCATTTCAAAGATAGGGGCCACCTACAATACAAATGATGAATAAAACAACTATCTCAACAGTTGTATCTAGTTTTAATTTAACCTTAGATACATCACATTTTTAAATATGTTTTATTAATATACCTTTTAAGTTAGGTTTCAGAGTGAGATCCATATCCATTTAAAAAGTTAAAACATATTTTAAGAAACAAAATTCAAACTTAGGTTTTAAGCTTGGGTTGCATGGGAAATATAACAAGAGTGTGAGAACTTTCATGTAACTTCAAAACAAATTAAAACTAGCTTGTTAAATAAGTTTGGCATTATCGTTAATGTTCTTTTCTGAGTTGTACTAGTACAACGTTATCTCCTTCCAAAACATAAGTCCTTTTGGTTGGCTGAAAATTCAGAGTGAAAAAAAGACAGTGGCAGATAGAAAGGCGCAAAAGGTGGTGGTAGTGGAGAGATCCTTGTATTATGACAAAAAGTTGAAAAATTGAAGAATCCATCAACGACACTTGTAACTAAAATTTAAAGATCCAATGCATGCATGCATGCATGACATTTGTACCATTTATTTCATCATCTTTTCCAAGTTCTGTTACCTAGATTTACAATAACACATCAAACACAGGTATGTAGCTAGCAAGAAGTTAATTAATGGCGAAATAGAGCAATTAAATTTAGACCAGATGCAAAATATCCGCAAAACTATAGCTAGAAACATGAAACAACTCATTCGACTGATACTAATATTAACATCGGTCGAATCAGTTCTTGCATCACAACTGATTCGACCGATACTAATATTAACATCAATCGAATCAGTTCTTACATGCATGCGACACAAGATCAACTACTAAACACACATGCACATATGATATACATGTATATATACAATCTTGCATATGAGAGATCATGATCAAATTATATATGAGCCTTCTCAACATAGCAAAAATGAAAAGAAAATATTAAGCAACACAAAAAAGGCAAAAACAAATGTCTCACAGAGAAGAAACATTTGAGATGTTTCTTGTATATATAAATAGTTTACGTACCAGAGGTAGTGTTGGGGAGCTTACGGAAGCCATGAAAACCACCTCCACTGTCCATTGCTGTTTGTGATGTGAAGAGAGAGATAGAGAGAAGAGAGAGAGTGACAATGGAGTACTTGGCAGGTGTCCACATTTTATAGTGCTCAAACGTGCCAATTAGGGCGATGTAAACGAGAAACCTGGTTATAGCCGGTCACAAACCCGTTAAAGTGTCCCAACAGAATTATGTGAGAAATATTTGCAATGCATAAACAAAATTATGTGAGAAATATTTGCAATGATGACACCTAAATTCAAGTTTTCAAAAATATTTAAGAAGGGAGAGAAAATTTGTTAGATGCCTAAGAATATTCAGGAATGAATTAAGAAATTCTCTTTTTTTAAAATTATTATGACAATTGATTTTCCGTCTAATTTTAATTTAAATAGTGTTGGCTAGAAACAAACTTCTCCTTTGTTTTGTTTTCCCGGGACTATTAAGGATTTCTTGGTGGTTCGTTGGCATATTATAACCATCAAATTCAAATTGTTTAGTTAAAATTAAGAATTTAAAATTTTATATTTCTCATATTTTTAAAGAAGAGAACAATTGTACATATTTAATAGCTTTTTTAAGATTCTGCTTTGCCTCTTTCTTGGATTAAGCCACCTATGATCATTATCCCATATACAATTAGATTTTTTTAATTAGATTTGTAACCCTATATTATCCACTCTCCTCTAAAATTTGATAGCAGAAGATCATGCAAGTCATTACAATAACCAAAACATGAGACATAAGACATAATATAAGAACTTCTTCTTAGATAACTACAATGTCAGCTTATTTAAGAACATGCAAGTCTTACATATGATTGTGTCAAATTAATTTCTTAAACATGCAAACTCTACACACTATTTTAGACACTATTTTGTCTTTAAAGCCTGAATTTGTCTTTAATTCCTACAATTAAAAGTAAACTAGATTTTTTTAATTAGATTTGTAACCCTATATTATCCATCCCCTCTACTGTATCGTGTTTTTTTAGTTATTGGTGAGTTTCTTTTTATAAATTATTCTTAGTTATTGCTCATTTTTTTTTATAAAAAAAAACCATTATAATGTGAAGATCATTCTTTCCCTATTTTTTTAGGTTTTATTGTTAGAGGAATGTGTTTAAAGAATTTGAGTTCTAAAACCACATTTATGTTAATTATGATAATTTCTAAAAATAATAAAAGAATTAAAAAAAAATCACAAAATATATTAGTCTATCAATAACCACTTTAAAATGTCACACGTGTGTGTATATATATATATATATATATATATATATATATATATATATATATATATATATATATATATATATATATATATATATATATATATATATATATATATATATATATATATATATATATATATATATATATATATATATATATATATATATATATATATATATATATATATATATATATATATATATATATATATATATATATATATATATATATATATATATATATATATGTGTGTGTGTGTGTGTGTGTGTGTGTGTTTTTTCTTTGAATTTATTACCACCTCTATTTCACACAAAAACTAATTATTTATATCTTTTCTTTAATTTAAAATAATTATTCTCTTTACATTATTAAAATATTTTTTATTATTTTTATTATACTTATTCGACAATTATATTAATTATAATTAAAAATATATATTAATAATATTAATTTAACATTAATATTTAATAAATATAATTAATTTTTAAAAACCTGCATATATTTTAAATAAAAAATATTTTGAGACATGCTTTTTTTATGTTTCCTTAACTTTTTTGGTTGAATCTATGCCAATCTAGTACTATGATTACATGTAAACCTATCATATTAACTATTTAAGCATGTAATATCTTCACGGTATTTTAGAGTTTCTTGTGAAACTACTTTGTCTTAAATCTTAATTCATTGTTTCCTATATTGTAAATTCCTAGGATTTAATAATAGAAGATCATGCAAGTCATTACAATAACCAAAATATGAGACATGAGACATGATTCATGATGTATACTAGTCTGCTATCCAGGAACATATGATAAGGTTTCTCAATTAGTGAGCAACTATAACATAGGATTTTGACAATTTTATGCTGCTGTGTATTAATACCATGTCTTATAACTTCTTTTTTGACTCATTAATATAAGAACTTATTCTTAGATAACAACAATCATGTCAGCTTACTTAAGAACATGCAAGCCCTGCAAATGATTGTGTCAGTTTAACTTCTTAAGCATGCAAACTCTACACACTAATTTAGACACTATTTTGTCTTTAAAACCTGAATTTGTCTTTAAAGCCTACAATTAAAAGTAAACTAGATTTTTTTAATTAGATTTGTAACTCTATATTATACACCTCCTCTACATTATCTTGTTTTTTTAGTTACTGCTCAGTTTTTTTTATAAATTAAAAAAAAAACCATTATAATGTGAAGATCATTCTTTCCCTCATTTTCTTTAAGTTTTATTGTTAGAGGAATATGTCTAAAGAGTTTGAGTTCTAAAACCTCATTTTTGTTAATTATGCAATTTCTAAAACTAATAAAAGAATTATAAAAGAAAATCACAAAATATGTATATTAGCCTATCAATAACCACTTTAAAATGTCACACACATATATATATTTTTTGGTGTATATTGGTGTTTCTTCTTTGAATTTATTACCACCTTTGTTTCACACAAAAACTAATTATTTATATCTTTTCTTTAATTTTAAATAATTATTCTCTTTACATTAATAAAATATTTTTTTTTTATTTTTATTATACATATTCAACTATTAGATTAATTATAATTAAAAATATATATTAATAATATTAATTTACCATTAATATTTAATAAATATAATTAATTTTTAAAAACCTGCATATATTTTAAATAAAAAATATTTTGAGACATGCTTGTTTATGTTTCCGTAACCTTTTTGGTTGAATCTCTGTCAATCTAGTACTATGATTACATGTAAACTTATCACATTAACTACTTAAGCATGCAATATCTTCACGGTATTTTAGAGTTTCTTGTGAAACTATTTTGTCTTAAGCCTGAATTTATTGTTTCCTATGTTGTAAATTCCTAGGATTTGATAGTAGAAGATCATGTAAGTCATAACAATAACCAAAACATGAGACATGAGACATGATTCATGATGTATACTAGTCTGCTCTAAGGCACAAAATCCAGGAACATAGGATAAGGTTTCTCCATATTACTGAGCAACTATAAAATAGGATTTTGACAATTTTAAGTTGCTGTGTATTAATACCATGTCCTATAACTTCTTTTTTGACTCATTAATATAAGAACTTCTTCTTAGATAACTACAATCATGTCAGCTTACTTAAGAACATGCAAACCCTGCATATGATTGTGTCAGTTTAACTTCTTAAGTATGCAAACTCCACACATTATTTTAGGCACTATTTTTTCTTTAAAGTCTGGATTTGTCTTTAAAGCCTACAATTTAGAGTAAACTATATTTTTTTACTTAGATTTAGGTTTTATTGTTAGAGGAATGTGTCTTAAGAGTTTTTGTTCTAAAACCATATTTTTGTTAATTATGATAATTTCTAAAAATAATAAAAGAATTATAAAATAAAATCACAAAATATATTAGTCTATCAATAACCACTTTAAACTGTCACATATATATTGGTGTTTCTTTTTTGAATATATTACCACCTCTGTTTCACACAAAAATTAATTATTTATATCTTTTCTTTAATTTAAAATAATTGTTCTCTTTACATTATTAAAATAAGTTTTTATTATGTTTATTATACTTATTTAACTATTATATTAATTATAATTAAAAATATATATTAATAATATAAATTTACCATTAATATTAAATAAATATAATTATTTTTTAAAAACCTGCATATATTTTAAATAAAAAATATTTTGAGACATGCTTGTTTATGTTTCCTTAACCTTTTTGGTTGAATCTCTGCCAATCTAAAACTATGATTACATGTAAACTTATCACATTAACTATTTAAGCATGCAATCTCTTCAGGGTATTTTAGAGTTTCTTGTGAATTTACTTTGTCTTAAGCCTGAATTCATTGTTTCCTATGTTGTAAATTCCTAGGATTTGATAGTAGAAGATCATGCAAGTCATTACAATAACCAAAACATGAGACATGAAACATGATTCATGATGTATACTAGTTTGCTCTCAGGCACAAAATCCAGGAATATAGAATAAGGTTTCTCCCTATTAGTAAGCAACTATAACATAGGATTTTGACAATTTTATTGTGCTGTGTATTAATACCATGTCCTATAACTTCTTTTTTGACTCATTAATATAAGAACTTCTTCTTAGATAACTACAATCATGTCAGCTTACTTAAGAACATGCAAGCCCTGCATATGATTGTGTCAGTTTAACTTCTTAAGCAAGCAAACTCTACACACTATTTTAGACACTATTTTGTCTTTAAAGCCTACAATTAAAAGTAAACTAGATTTTTTTAATTAAATTTGTAACCCTATATTATCCACCCCTCTATTGTATCTTGTATTTTAGTTATTGCTCATTTTTTTTATAAATTAAAAAAAAAACCATTATAATGTGAAGATCATTCTTTCCCTCATTTTCTTTAGGTTTTATTGTTAGAGGAATGTGTCTTAAGAGTTTGAGTTCTAAAACCGCATTTTTGTTAATTATGATAATTTCTTAAAATAATAAAAGAATTAGAAAAGAAAATCACAAAATATATTAGTCTATCAATAACCACTTTAAAATGTCAAATATATATTGGTGTTTATTCTTTGAATTTATTACCACCTCTATTTCACACAAAATATAATTATTTATATCTTTCTTTAATTTAAAATAATTATTCTCTTTACATTATTAAACTATTTTTTAATTATTTTTATTATACTTATTCAACTATTATATTAATTATAATTAAAAATATATATTAATTATATTAATTTATCATTAATATTAAATAAATATAATTAATTTTTAAATACCTGCATATATTTTAAATAAAAACT